ATTAGAACACAAAGAAACATTCAAAAATACATCAGATAAGTTCTGGAAATGCACTAGAACATAATACTTATTAGAAAATACATAGGAGAGACAAGGAAACATCTGAAAATACATCAGATAAGTTTTGGAAATACATTAGAACACAATACTCATCTCGGAGTACATCAGAGAGAAAAGAAAACATCGGGAAATACATCGGGTAAGCTCTTGAAATACATGAAAACACAATTCTCATTCGGAAATACACCGGAGAGAAAAGGAAACATCTGGAAATACATCGGATAAGTTCTAGAGATACATCAGAACACAATACTTATCCGGGAATACATCAGAGAAAAAGGAAACATCCGAAAATACATTGAATAAGTTATAGAAATATATTTGAACACAATACTCATCTGAGAATACATATGAGAGATAAGGAAACATCCAAAAATACATAAGAAAAGTTTTGAAAGTATATCAGAACATAATACTTATTCGGGAATACATTATAGAGACAAAGAAACATCTGGAAATACATCAGATAAGTTCTGGAAATACATCATAACATAATACTCATCAGAGAATACATCAAAGAAAAACGAAAACATCCAGAAATACATCAGATAAGTTTTATAAATACATCAGAACACAATAATTATCTAGGAAAATGATAAGTGGTTTTCACATTGTTATTTCTAGTCATTTTCCCTTAGTATTTTATTGCATTTTGTTCGGTTTACTTCTAATTACCATATTTTATGATTTGGTTTGTGTTTTCTTACCATTTTTCAGGGACTAATGAGCGTCCAAGACCAATAGGGATCAAAAACAAGTAAAACAAGGCAAAATGACAAAATATATTTTTCTCCATAGTAAAACCGGGGGATGCTACGACCATTCATAGAAGCAAGGGCGGTTAGGGTTTCCTTTGGTTTTTCCCCCAGTACAAAAGACAAAGGCCTGTTGCAGTCATTCGTAGCAGCAACTACGGGCCGTAGTAGGAAGGCGAGGAAGATTTATTTTGTTTCCTTATTTGGATTGTTTCTCCTTTATTGTGGCTCTTAGAAAATATTTGATTTGATGAAAAAGTGATTTAATAGTCATTGAACCAAGGGTTTTGTGCATTATTTACTTTTTTCTATAAAACTCTGTTATGAGTTTTAGAATCCATATTTTATTCCAGAAAGTTTCTACGTATATTTTGTTTTCTTTTTCTATGTACTCAAGTATCCAATGGAGAAATATTGGATCATAATTTAAGCTAAATCCAGGTTTTCTTATCCATTCTCCTTCAATTGTTCATTTACTATAATTGTTTGATATGAATCTGATGTTGAATATTGATTTGGTTATGTTTGCCCTCACCATGAGTGAGTAGTCCATTAGGGACTAGGGGTTATAGGGATCATCTAATGACCTCTTGTATGATCTGTCACTATCGATTGCGAGAATTTTAGTCTAAAATTATTTTATAATCCGAGTTCATGCATTCTAACTCTGTTACAATGTAAGGGGTTCTCAGATATCAACCGTAGTCTGAAAGGGTATGTGTTGATACTAGAGCACGAATTTTTAAACATCTGAGTCCAAAATAGTGAAAGCGTTTGGAAGAATTTGAGAAAACTACATAGATGAGGAAAAGTATCGAATCATCGTAGAATAATGTTTTCGTGCGAAAGCAGACGAATTATTTGTCGTCGATAGGGCAATGCACTGACGAAAGAATGTATTACCCATATTTATCTATTTTCTATAATTTTAGTGGAGTTTTCGTAATATAAGTGACATGGATCATGCGATTATATTGAAGTAAGAAACATAACCCTGGGTCCTTTTTGCCCCAATTGAGATTTAAGTGATTTTCAAATAGGTTGTTTTCGTTTAAGTGTTTTTTCAGTTAAGTTGTTTTACCAAAATCCATATTTTTTATTTCTCTAGATATACACCAATAAGATGGAACTCGGTAATTAAGCCATTGGTCTCTGTGGTTCGATATCTTTTACTACTTTGCACAGTCGTGAACTTGCGACTGCATCAAAATACATCAGAGAGAAAAGGAAACATCCAGAAATACATCAGATAAGTTCTAGAATTATACATCATAACACAATACTCATCTGAGAATACATCCGAGAGAAAAGGAAACATTCAGAAATACATCAAATAAGTTCTAAAAATACATCAGAACACAATACTCATCAAGGAATACATCAGAGATACAAGGAAATATTCAAAAATACATCGGATAAGTTCTAGAAATACATCAGAACACAATACTCATTCGAGAATACATTGGAGAGGCAAGGAAACATCTATAAGTACATCAGATAGAAAATCATTATGGAAAACATCAGGATACAATACTCATCAGGAAATACATCGGAGAGAAAAAGAAACATCTGAAAACACATCAGAGAAAAATGTTCAGGAAATACATCAGAACACAATGCTCATCCGAAAATATACTAGAGAGAAAAAGAAACATCCAGAAATACATCTGATAAATAATTGAGAAGTTGAACCTTAACATACAAATATTTGTTTTTGTAGATGCCAACGGAGTTGGACTTTGACCAAAAGGTAAAATATTGATACCAACAAGACCTTGAGAAGTGCATATGAGCATGAAACACACTACAAGCTATGCACGATATTGAATTTTGCTTCTATGCATGATGTATAAATGATCAATGTAATGCAATGTGGATGCTTACAAATATTGTACTTTTGGGTTAAGCATGGCTCAATTTTCTTTTGTTGGAAGGGTCAAGCAAAGAAAGGTTTTGAAATACCAAGGAAAATTGGTGTTTTAAAGTTAGGCCTCTGTGAGGCGCCAATAAAAATTGGACTCTAACTTTTTCATTCTACAAGGCTCTATGCTATGAGAATATACTAGATGAATGTGATGATAAGCATGACATGATTCTAGAGCGGAGCGACATGATCAACGCATGAATTTATGCAATGATTTAAATGTTTCAATAGGTGCCTATATGGGAGGTAATGAACGGTTAAAACTAATAAGTGTTTCCTTTTGCAACAAGGTTTCTTGTCTAAAGGCAAAGGTTATAAGAGGTGGTGCTAGCATGACCTCCTGACACTTATTTCAAACTCAATGGTTGCTGATGTACGACAATGTTTGATTGAGCAACTGGAAATTATGGAGAGGAATTTCCCCTATGTAGCCTATCTTGCCCCGATCTGTTTGAAAGGAGTTTTGAAGTAGACTTGCCATAAGATGTTCTCGAGACGACTTGCCCAAATATTTTGAATCTTGAAGCAGTATGCTTTTGATTAACCGACTCTTAGAATGGTTTACCTCTGATTGACCAACCTTTGGAGGGTTGACTTCCTTATGCTCTTTGAGGTGGCTTGCCCCAGCATGGGCTTTGAAAACATTTGTCTTGGAGTAACTGACTTTTTGAATGGCTTACTTCACTGTGCTCTTGAGGTGGTTTTCCCCAATGTTAGCCTGGAAGAGGTTTGTCCTTGACCAAATGACTCTTGGGGTGGTTGGCTCAGATTGACCGATTCTTGAAGTGATTTTCCCCTGAATGGACTACTTTCACATGATCAATTTCCTCAATTGACTGCACGTTGTTGGGATTCCCTTTATGCTAAGTGTCGGCTTACAGATAAAATTGTTCCTTCAAAATGGTAATTCCAATGCAATGCTCATGCAAATTTTAAAATCAAAGTTATTATTGAGATCATTTTGGTGAAATAAATACAAGGAATGGGTCAATGATCATAACATAATGTTGATCTAGACATTCAAAGTGTGAAAAGTGATTTGAGAGCATGATACCAATACAAATGATTAGCAAAGATCTCTGGAGTTAGGTTAACGCCACCTTGCTATAGTATGCTTTCAAAATGAACCTTACTTCAATTAGGTCTTTTTGAAACAAAAGGATATAAAGCTCAAAATTTAATCTTAACCTAAACCATTCTCTTTGATGATTGAGGATAATACATAGTTGCAACTTTTTCTCCGATTTTACAATTTCTACGTTATATTTTTGTAGTGTTATATTGTTCATTTATCTTCTCTATGTTTGGTCTTTCAACAAGTAGTTCGACTTGGCAGGGGAGCAAGATATATTTCATGTATTAAGTATTATGATAGAAGGTGGAAACTCCCTTGTGAAAAATATATTTAGATTCAAATGTGAGTGATTAAGTTTCATATCATCTATGAATAAATAGTGTTCGATATATATTTAACTTTTAAAATATTATAACATAGATTATACTTGTAATAAGCCCCCTAAAATCTATTCTTTAATACAACTTTTGAATTCTGCGATACCATAGAAATTTTATATTATGGATAAAAATAAATCCTTTAAAGTGTTCTTCACCCAAATTCATCAATTCTTTTATTATTATTTTTAAATTTCTCCCCTCTCTTCTCCTAAACTCACAAAATAAATTTCAAGACTTTAAGTGAAGATGTAAAGTCTTACTCTTGTGATTTTACAACATTGTACTCGAACTCCCCCAACAAAAACTTAATAAGTCTAACATGCTGTAAGAAAATTATGACTTTCAACAATTCAAATGGAACCAAACCATGCACCCTTTCATCTTTGGCATCCTTTTTCTTTTTAAACTAAAAACCAGATCAGGCCTAAAAAGTAAATACCCTAATGAAGTTAATAAATTTCTTGCATAGTTTCTGGCCATTTGAGCCTAAAATAAAATGCTCCAATAATTCTCTTGTCTATAGAAAAACATAAAGATCATATGATTTATGTATAAAGTAACAAAAATGATGGGAAAAAATAACTAAAATCCCTTGACCATGATGCCTCCAAAAAATCATGTAACCTCTATGTAAAAGGACCTACAAAAATAAAAGATGGTCCTTAATTCCTCATGCCATCTTAGGTACTTTTATGACTAAATCAATGCCTGGTATTTTTATGACCATCAACCTTATATTATGAATGAAATGCAATTGCACTTCAACCTTCATCAATCTTCAACCATGAAAAATTCCAAACAGGAATCTATATACATTGATTCTCACCAGATTTAGCCTTCAATGTTAATCCAGCTAGAAGTTGTTGAAGCCTTTGAGCCCCCGGTCCGGGTTTGAGTTTATAAACGTTCCCGACCTCAGTACATTTCGGTTTGCCAGAACACCAACCACCAAGCGTGAATAATCCATTTCTCTTACGTAAATATTTTTTGTCGATCAACTCTATGGCCGGATCGTCTTGCTTGAATTTTCTAGCGAAGGCGGCTCCGCTCGCGATCATGTTGTCCGTGTCGTTTATGTTAAGGATGTGAGGGTGCTGTTGAGGAGGTACGTCCCAGGAAATATAATGCAAGTCGGTGTTAACGAGCGTTTTAGATAACTCTGGTACATTGCACGCGACGGTTTGAAAGTAGCCTTCGGGCGAAGAGAGAAAGTTTGTGTAGTACATTAGAAGGGTTCTTGGTAGATTATCCCAACCCCACACAACGTATTCCACGAAATCGTGCGATAGAACCATCCACGCTGAACCTGAAATTAAGCTACAATAACTCAACAAACCAATCTTTGAAACGCAAACTATTTCTATTTAAGTAAGCTATAAGTTTTTCTTACAAATACTTATATCGGTCGATAAATTCAAATATGTCAATCCGAACATACTCTAAAAGGTCATTGTTCGACAAATGGCTTAAGAATAACCTTTGCAGATTGTAAAAGCACTATGTTTTTGGAATTGTTCGTTAAGAGCCTCTTATGTAGAAGACGATTAAAGGAACGAGATAACTATGAAGTATCAGATAAGTGGTTCAAATAAATAAAGGCGTGAAGAGTGAAACCAACCAGTAAACAATTTAAATGCCGTTGGCAAATTTCTCTTCGGATTGACCCAAAATACGTCGGTCTTCGTTGAATGGTAAAGCCCGGGATCAATTATTAGCGGCATCGCTCGTTTGTCCCTGCACAGTATAGTCCAATTCGTCATTATAGATACATTCAAGCATGATATGTCATCATAGAGAGACAAAATAGTTCATTATTTACTTACAATTTCCATCCTAACCGACTTGTATGGTCGATGAAGTTAAGGTTTCGATCTAAATTCGAGAAAGCATATATCAGATCTGCATAATCAATTATCAGAAAAAATCATAACCTCAACAAGTTTGAATTGGAGCAAAATTACTAATAGAAACATCGATACAAGATTAAGAATTAAACTAACCATCTTGAGTGACGAGAGGATAATCGGAAGCACTAAGATTAATAAACCAATCCCAATCTTTACTTCTCTTAAGCAAAATAGCACAGGCATGAAGAGTATTAGCAACCATCGTCGGTCCACGGTACGTAACCATATTAGCCTTCGCGATCACAAACACATTCCCAACCTCAGAGAAAATATGTTGTTTCTCAACCCTAGAAGCAAGTTCCAACCTTTCCTCCAATGGCGATTCGAGGTCTAAATGAAGGACATAATGGTTTAACGGATGATAAAGCGCGTGAAGAGTTCTCCAAAGCTTATCCAAATCGCCCTTGGAGCCGGATATCAAATAAGCAAAACGAGGGATCGAAGGCTTAACGGGAGCCGGAGCAGGGGAAATCTTTTTTTCAACAAAAACAAGGGAAGAATTTTGGTTTCTATTTGTATGTGATGGAAGAAAAAAAAGCGAATTGATCGAATGAATCGATGAGACGAGTCCCATGTTAAAGGATGTTGCTAGAAAAAGCATACAAAAAGCAGAAGTAACAAAGAGTGGAAATAACCATTTCTTTTCCATGTTTAAGATTCCCATTGACATCAACATGGAAATATTCTACATTCCATGAATCATTCAAACATAAAGTGACAATTCTAATTCTTCATCAAACAACACAATTGTTACCACTAAAATTTTTCACCCTTTTCAGAAAACTTGTCAATAATCTCTTTTAGCTGCTGAATATTTCTGTTGAAACAAAACAACATCAAACGTTAAAATTCAAGAAATTTGTACTCCAACTGATATTATTATTAACTACATAATAAATTGCGGTTTCTGAATCAAAGGAGTTAAACATCAATTAATAAAGAAACATTAGCATAAAAACAATCGAAGAAATTGACAAATGAATATTAAATATTATAAATTCTTAGACAAACAACATATATTTTGTCAAAAGAAGAAACAAGAACATGTTTTGCTAACAATGAAAAAAAAAACAAGGATCTAGATGTGTTAGTTATAGACGTGTTTAACCAAAAACGTTTGAAAAGGAAAGAAAGTGATCATAGAAAGCATAAAAGAGAAAAGTTACCATGCATGTGAAGAAGATTGATTATTGAGTTAATGATAATGAATCTAGTAATCTAGTAGATCAGAGTGATGGTGATGATGATTGATTTAGTAAAAGAAGATGAACATGAGGAACGAACCTGTGTTTGTGATGGAAGAAGCGTCCACGTCTAAAAGAGAAGAGAATTGTAGGAGAGAGAGAGAGAGAGAGAGAGAGAGTGGAACAACACAACAACAACAACAACATAAGTTACTATAGAACATAAACATATAAAAAAGAATTATTAAAAGAATCGAAAGGAAGGAGTTTCATTTTGTTGTACCTATGTATTTAATGAACGTGTTGGATTGGACAAAGTGGTTCCATTTATTTAGGGACTTTCAACATTACTTGACATTTTACAATGCAGGTGGCGTGACATTTTTAACATGTTCCATTTTCATGTGACTTAAAAAAAATATGTTACTGATGACAATTTTAAGATAAAATTTATCTAAATTATCTACTAAAAAAATAATCGAATTTATCCATCATATAAAAGGTAAGTTAATAAATTAAATTAAATTCATTTATTTATATATATATATATATATAAGTTGATTCAATTTATTCAACATATTTTAATAATTCAAAATAAAAAAACAATAATATATTTTTTTTTTCAAAAACGAAAAAAATTAATTTTTAGAAAAATACAAAAAGTCAATTTTTTTTCATAAAAAAGTTGATTTCTTTCGAAAATACAAAAAAAACGCTCTTTTTCCAAAAATAAAAAAAAAATCGAAAATACAACAATTCGATTCTTTTAGAAAATACCAAAAATTGCTTTTTTTCGAAACAAAAAAAAAATATTTTTTTGAAAATAAAAAAAAATTTAAACAAAAACTAAAAATCAATATTTTTCCAAAAAAAAATCAATTTATTTTGAAAATTATAAAAAAAATTGATTTTTTCAAAAAATAAAAAATTGACTTTTTTAAAAAGTAAATAAAAAAACTTTATTTTTCAAAAATAAAAAAACAATTTTTTGGATGGATGGATAACCATCCATTAAAAATATGTTAATTAATGAATTTTTTTTTCTTAATGGATTTATTAGATTGAATATTTTTTTTAAAAAATTTAATTAATTATTTTGATTCATCCATTAATAATCAAATTCATATTCATGCAATCAATTTACTTTGTCACCCTTATGTGTATGGGTGTCATATTAGTATACTAATAACATAATTGTATTAGTTTGATATTTTTTATAAAAAAAGTATTAATAATTAATTTTAGAAGCTTTTATTAATTAAAATGACAATAATGACCATTTTATAATTGTCATTAATTTTTTTTCTAAAAATTATAATTTCGTACGGCGTTAAAACAACTCAGCTGATAACTATGCGATGAAAGTGCGGGTTCAAATATGTGACATCCCACTTATTTAACTTTAAAGGGAGAATTTCTGCCACTAAATTATTCAATGGAAAAAAATAATAATTACATATGATAGGTACATACATGATCATTTAATTTAATCTGATTGGATCACAAGTTCGAATCTATAAGTGTTTATTTTTGTACACTTAGTTTGTGAGTTTTACTATTGAACTATTTGAGTGTATGCTTAGTTTAACTTTTGGAATAGGGAAAATCAATGGTAGAGATGTAGAATTGATTTTAGAATGACTCTAAATTGTTTGATTCTTTTGAAATAAAATTAATTTTGTTTTTAGAATTGATTCTCCTTGAAGCTATAATTTGTAGATTTTGAGTGTAAAAGTGATTTTTACACTGAAACTTTTTGTTCAACTCATTTTTGACATAAATGTATTCAAACATAAATCATTTTACATTCAACTCACTTTTAATCATAATTAATTCACTCAGAATAAATTCTCCGTAAACCCTACCCTTAATTTGCATATTCGACATATCAATCAACAAGTCAACATGGATATTGGGTAATAAAATGAATCCAAACCAAAAGAGTTGATTCAAATATTATGTTGCACAGATAAATAATTAAATGCACAAAAAAATAAAGTCAATAATATAATCATATTTGGTCAATAATTAGCTAGTAATTTTGGTGTTAGGATGAACCAATAAGAATGCTTTTTATTTTTTTAAAAGAAATGGAGGTGTCAGTTAGTAGAGCTTTAAGGTAAATAAAGAATACACATATGCACATTTTAAAAATTGGTAACATTAATTAGACAATTATACATCTCAACTATACTAATGATGATATCTATTTGGCATAATTAATCCCTAGATCCTTTAACTTTGACTGAAGTTTCGCTTTGGTTCCCGAACTAAAAAATGTTATATAATGATCCCTTAACTTCACTTCAATTAAAGCATTTGGTCCTTACCGTTCGTTTGCGTGAAAAAACATTAACTATGGCTGAGGTGGCATGTCAGGTAAGCATATGGTAAATTGAACATTCAGCTTCTGTTTTATAAACACTCTATGGTTTGTGGGTTTCACCTTCCATTTATAGTGTTCATCCAAATTTTCTCCATTTTCCATTTTCTTCTCCGAATTAGGGCTAAATCACCATCTTCTTTCTTCCATCTTCCATTTTCTTCTCCAAATTAGGATTCAATGTCAAAGATTATAAGCAATGATTCAACGTCAAACATACAAAGTTATGGTACATCTGGATTTGTGCTTCGTACAAACAAGAAAATGGAGTGTTTTCTCCAACATGAAAGTGTTCTTCGAACTGTTAATGATGTGAGCAGTGTAAACTATGAAAGAAAATTATGGGGTTGTAGAAATTACAGAAATCACATGGATAAGGGTTGTAATTTCTTCAAGTGGTTAGGTGATAAGTTTGTTGATGAAAGGGACTTGAAGCTTGAAATACAAAATAAGAAAATTAAAAAAAATTGAAGAATGGGGTTATCTACACTAGAGGATGGCTGGAAATGTCCATTGTAGTTTGGATGTTGAGTTTAGGGTTGAACCGTGTGTTTGTAACAATGTATTTAAATTAGAATTAGGGTAGTTCAATGTTATGCTTTCACATTTTCAATGTGTTCTTAAGTTGGTTTAATGAATAATGTTAGTGTCTATTTTAACACATTACCAATGTTTCTTCATTATTCTTTGTTTTATCTGTGATACATAACTAGTATAAATATGTCTCAAAATTTAACCTGTTAAAAAGGCAGCTTAAGGATCTTATTTGTATGAATCAAAATAGTAAATAAACCAATTTGCAACAATTATAAAATTAAGGGACTTTATGGAAACCATACAGTAAGATAATTTGGCATTATAAGCCATTTCCACTTTCATTAACAGATCTGAAGTCTGATACAAAATTGGTTCAATAACAAAAGGTCATTATAAGGCATTAATATAACATTCCAAAATGTGATACAAAAACAAAACAGATAGGTCATTGTCAATAAGCCATTAAAAGGCATAACAAAATGACATTCCAAAATGTGATACAAAAACAAAACAGATAGGCCATTATCAATAAGCCATGAAAAGGCATAACAAAATGACATTACAAAATGTGACCAAACATCATAACAAACATTAAGGTTTACTTGAAACAGGCTTTCCACCCTTATGATGTTTTTTTATTCATTTTGGGTGGTGGCTGACTTGTAACAATTAGTGATGGTGGCTGAGTTGTTCCTTCTTATACCCGACCTAAAACAGTTGTTGGTGGTGGCTGATTTGTTCCTTCTTGTACCTGACTTGAAACATTTTTTTGCTGCTGGTTCCTGACTTGGAGGAGCTTATGGTTGTGGTAATTTACAGGTGGCCTTGTTGTGACCATCCTTATAGCAACTACTACACTTGATACCATTTTTTCCTCGTTTCATATGTGTCTCATACCTCACTATTTCTACAGCTTCCTTATTCCTTTTTTTTTCTTTGGCCTTCCAGGCCGCCTCTTTATTGGTGGTGGTTGAAGATCAACAACACTATTTTTGGCCCACAAGGATTTCCCATTAACTGGATAAATAACAGGTTCATAGCAAGCGAGATATTGTTTCTTCTTATAATAGTCAGGTACAAAGTCATTAATTTGTAGGTGTTAATCCTTCATGCAAGACATTGCATGACAGCATGGAAGTCCAGTCAGCATCTATGTTCTACATGAGCATTCTTTCTTGTAAAGGTTGACAACATACTTTTCTCCATTGAGTGAAATATGCCTTACCTCATTGTCATATTCACTTGCATGCCTGTAAAAAAAGTAGCCATTTTAATGTTAGCCAATGTAATATTCAACATGTGCATTTAATCGAGTAAAAGGACAACAAATCAACCATGTTACCTCACAATCCAATGATTTGTTTTCTGTGACTTCCTTTACATCCTCTTATTGATATTTGGTATACGATAAAATAACCCACCTAAAATACTTTCCAACAAAATGGCATCGTTGCTGGGGATTTTTGTCGATATTTGAAATTGTAAGCATTACAATAGTTTATTGATTTTTAAGATATTTGTATTGTTATCTCTTACCTATGTTCATTTTTCTTGTGCTATTTAATTTTTTTG